CAAGGTTCAAAGTATTCGGTGTTTTAGAATGATGTAACTACATGATTCATGAAGTGAAACTTCTTGAATCAAGCCTTCAATTTAACAAACATGCTGTTTTCTCAGATGGTGTAATTAAAATCCAGAACTTTGGTTTTCACATACTCGGTTCAACATACAGAATACACAATTCTATAAACCACTTTCATACATTTTACACTTCAACAGATGGATACACTTTGTGTAGCACAACAGCTGTTTGTACACAGCAACTTTTTTGTAAACTGTATCACTGAATTTAGATCAAATACTGTCGGATTCAGAAAAATGACCAACAGCAGCAATTATCTGAATTTATTTTGAATCCTCATTTTTTTTATTTCTATTTTTTGCTTCATCATCTATTAATTTAAAAAGTTAGTAAGTTAAACGAGAAAAAGAAAAACCTACACACACACACACACAGACCTAAAGATTGTTGAATCAGCAGATATTAAAAACGGTTATCTGCTGATAGTATTTCAGTTGAAAGCATGAGGAATTGAAAAATGAAGAAAACACGCAATGTAAACTCCAAACAACATCTGAAATACGTTGTTGCTTTCAAGAATCTATTTTTAGTTGTTCACAAAATAATGGCACATTTGAAGTTGCGTGCCTAATTTTATGCTTCATCAATGATGATTTTCCTTTTTTTTGTTGTTGTTGTGCTTGTTGTTGGTATTGAAAAAAATAGCATTTCTATACTATGTCTTGGATGATTTTTGCTGTATATTTGTTAGCTTGATCATATTCAAGAAGAATAGATAATAAACAACAATATAAAACAAAAAAAAAAAAACGAAAAAGAAATAGAAGAGAGAGGTCAATTTTTTTTTTTAGCTTTAATATCAATTTAAATATGAAAAAATTTTCTTGAAGTTTATATAACAATTAACAGTCAAACAACAACGAAACAAAAAACGACAAATCTGCTCCTTCGTTTTCTTCTCTTCTTTTTTTTTTTTTTCTTCTGCCTATTATTAGACTACACTTTAATAAAAAAAAAAAAGACTTTCTTCTGTTATATAGGCATTTGTTGAAAATGAGGGAGAAAGAAAGTAGTAGAAGGGGGGGAAAAAAAGAACCTAAACCAATGAAAAACTTTCAGTTTTCTTCTTCCCGCAGTTTTCATCCAACTCTTCATCAACATCTTCTTCAACCAATGTTTTCCTGTTCACATTTCCTAATCATACGAGTAAATGTCAGTCAACAAACAAACAAAATTTTGGATTGAAAAATCTTTTTT